AGGATGAAACTGAAAGTCTTTGCATGATAATAAGCTTTATGGCATCCAGGACCCTTGCATTATTCGCTGCATTTTTTCTAATACTAACATAAAGCAGATTTTTAAGCAGTATAGCCTTACACATCCAAGATGGGGGTTTTTCTGTAGTGTTTACATGCTCTCGCAGTGTTAACGTGTTTTTCCTGTCAGTACTCCAAATTCCCAAAGACTTGGTGAGGTGCAGAGACAGACATTTCAGGTCCAGAAAGTAAAAATTCAAATTAGGATTTTGTTTCAATCAGCCAGTTGAGTACTCCGTGACTGTGACTGGCTGAAACAGAATCCTGGTTTGGATTTTTACTTTCTGGACCTGAAATGTTTGCCTCTGGTTAGATGAATGGGCATCTCTTCCCCATAATGTAACATACAACAGCCCCTAGAGATATACATGTACAAACCTGCTATTTTCATAAATTTCACTTGTAAAAATGATCTGATACATATGTAATATCTGTTAAATAAGGATAAATCATGTCGTGGGATAATACAGCTGTTCCAAGAACGGCAGAAGATAACGTGTCCCTGCATTCATTAGTACAGCATTATTGTTTAAGTTCTCGTTTTGGGTTTTAAAAATCAACTTAAATTTTGAGCAGTGAAAAATCCCAGAACTTCAGAACGTCAGTCATCGAAAAACTGCTTCGTTTGCAGGTACAATGTATATATTTCATTGAACTTTGCCTTAGTTTAGTTTTGACCCCTCATGGTCCCTTTGCTTCTTCCTTTATATTCTGTTTTATTAATAAAACCCTGGCCGTACCATACCATACCATACCATACCATACCATACCATACTGCACCATACCATACCATACTATACCATACCATACCATACCATACTGTACCATACCGTACCGTACCATACTGTACCATACCATACTGTACTGTACCGTACCATACCATACTGTACCATACGTACCATACTGTACCATACCATACTATACCATACCATGCTGTACCGTACCATACCGTACCATACCATACCATACTGTACCATACCATACTGTACCATACCATACCATACCATACCATACTGTACCGTACCATACCGTACCGTACCATACCGTACTGTACCGTACCATACCATACCGTACCGTACCGTACCATACCATACTGTACCGTACCATACCATACCATACTGTACCATACCATGCCCTACCATACCATACCATACTGTACCGTACCGTACCATACCATACCATACTGTACCGTACCATACCGTACCGTACCATACCGTACTGTACCGTACCATACCATACCGTACCGTACCATACCATACCATACTGTACCGTACCATACCGTACCATACTGTACCGTATCGTACCATACCATACCATACTGTACCATACCATGCCCTACCATACCATACCATACTGTACCGTATCGTACCATACCATACCATACCATACTGTACCATACCATGCCCTACCATACCATACCATACTGTACCGTATCGTACCATACCATACC